AGAAGTATCCTTAAGCGGAATTTACGATGTGGGAAGCATATAAGACGAGTAGCCTATAGGCCCATACATATGTCCATAGTCCAGGGCAACGGAGGGGTTTACCCTGGGGCCGTGTCACCCCTCCTGCTGTGTAGGAACTTACAAGGGGGTTACCAAAGGGCTACCGGGGGTTGAAGATGGGTAACCCATGGGTTACTGACCCAATCAGTGCCTTAGGGCTGACCTTAGGCCAGACTTTCGCAGGCATGAAAACAAAGCCTTTACACAAGAATGTCTGTATGCTGCTCCTGTCCTGCCACTGACTACAGAATCGGGCAACGCTATCTGAACCCAGAGGAGTACCATGAACATCTTCGCAGTTTGGCTTCTAATAAAGCACAGAACCCCGCACGAATCCCGCGAGGGCGGCAGTTGGTGGGAAACTGAGTGTGTTTTGTTGTGGGTGAGTTTAGTTGGGTATGTTGGTGGGTGAGTACAGATGAGTGTTAGGTTGTGAGGGGTGCCTGGTGAGAAGGGGATGTGGAAAGAGGGTCAGTGGCAGGGTTGAATATGTGAACGTGGCGCAGGGATTCAGGCATAAAAATACATGAAACTGTTGCTTATTTCATGGATGATTGAAACGATTTGAAGAAGGCATCGGGCATCATCATCATCATCATCACTGATGACACGCAAGAATGTGTTCACAATGAATGGAACAGCGTGGGTTGTAAGTGACTTGTAAGGCTCAGGAGGGACTGGCATGTGCCTCCATGCTGCTAAGGACATATGAGAGGTAGAAGGGCTTTCATGACAGCAATCGTTTGAGGTTGTGTGTAACACGTTTGCACGGTTATGGTAATGTAATAAGTTGGCGTCAAAGGTGTAGTGCATGTACCTATTACCTCATGTTGATTTTCTGGCAGTTCAAGGAGGATACAAATGTCCGGTTATGGTGTTCAGTGATGAGCATTAATTAGTACACCTTTGCCGTGAAGCACTGCTTTGGTAACATTCAGCAGTTGAGCTGCTGCATGGGGCATGCATGTCCCAGCAGGGGCTTCACACATGATGGGTTGGTGTGTTGTGTGGGACAGAGGAGTGGACTGGATTACCTGTGAATTGGAGAGTACATGATCATGCTTCAGACTTCACGATTTACAGGTGAACATGTGAAATAACGATGAAATACGACAGGAGCCTGCCTAAGCCAGGATTCCGCTATACATGCCTTCACAACATGTTGTCCGGAGGTAGATCACACTCAAAAGGACTACAGCATGGAATACAGAGCCCTCTCCTTCAGGAGAAGGCACGCATACACATGTTAAGATTACAACACTAGGACTACATCAGTACAAGCCCTATGAATACATATATAGCTGAAGCTTACTTTTTGCTCTACACTTCATACTTTAAAGGTGCAGGTGGGAACAAAGGACGGCAGTGGGGAGCAAGAATGGGCACGGGAGGGCCAGGGACAGCAGAGGAGGACTGAGGATAAAGAGAGACGGCAGATGCCAGCAGGAGAGGGCAAGGGACAGCACATCAGGACAGAGGGGAACAAGGAACGGCAGATGAGAGCAGGATGGGGCAAGGGACTTAAGGGGACTGGGGTGGGAGAGGGTACGGGATGGGTGGTTGGGGGCTGGGGGGGGGGGAAGAGAGTGAAGGGGGTGGTTGGGGGCTGGGGAAAAAAAGAGGGGGGTTTGGGGACTGGGGGCCCCCGGGGATAAGCACGGGGACGGGGGTCTTGGGGAGTGGGGCTTGGGAAGAAGAGCAGAAGACCCTGGGGGCTGGTAGGGGGAGAGAGAGCGTGCGAGTTGGGGGCTGGTGGGAAGGGTGCAGGGAGTTCGGGGGCGTTAGGGAGGCCACGGGAGGTTCGTGGCAGGCGGGAAGGCGCGGGGGCTGGGGATTCTGTGTTCGGGGATGGCGAGGGATGAGCGGGGTTTGTGTTCTGGGACTAGTAAGGTAGAGCGAGTGGGGATGGGGTGGAGTCACGGCTGGGACGGGGAGGAAGCATGCAGGTAGTTCGGAGGCTAGTGGACGGGGGGAAGGGCACATGGGAATTGGGGGTTAGGAGGGGGGGGATTTGGTGAGAGCGGGTGAGTTTGGGGGTAAGCGTGTAGGGGCTAAGGGTGCGCATGGTGCCTGCGGAGCGTGTGGGAGCTGGGAGAGCGTGTGGGAGCAGGGAGCAGGGAGAGCGTGTGGGCGCTGGGAGAGCGTGTGGGAGCAGGGAGAGAGTGTGGGACCTGGGAGAGCGTGTGGGAGTTGGGAGAGCGTGTGGGAGCAGGGAGAGAGTGTGGGAGCAGGCAGAGCGTGAAGATACAGGGGGAGCGCACTGGGACTAGAAGAGCGGGGAATAGACTAGATGACAACAAAATGTAAGAATGTCTCTTCAAGTACCTTGAATTTAGGAAACACCACATGCCTTTGCAGAACGCTCACCTATGGATTATTGGAACCCTGCCAGCCTGAAACAAAGACAGCAGTGCCACAGCATACATGGGATGTG